TTTTTTATATTTTTGACGTCAGAAGTTGTCCATCCTCGCAATTTTTAAACTTTCTACGTTCGTGTTTGCTGTGAGGTTTGGACTGCGAATCTTTATTGATCCTCCTGGCGCGGTGCACCTTTGTTGGCCTGAGAGTTCCACTAACAACTTGCTATGTATATATATATATATTTCTTTTTTTTCTTGTTCACAGTTTAGGTTCAGGAAAACAGCGACAAGTGCCATCTGAAAGATTCCTTAAGACCGAGATTTGCATAGCAATACAAACTTTATGCCTTCCCTACGTGCAAATGCAGTATCACGAGAAGCGGCTTGACTTTGGCCTCGATTTCAATACGCGCTTCCCAAGATTAAGTGACCCTTTTAATTAACATCCCCCCTCGTATCTGTCTTATCCAAAACTTAAAATAGGCGACTGGGTGAGCACTACTCGTGGGAGCCGACTTATAATTCCCCCCCTCGCCCCCACTCCCTCAGCTTGTACTCTCAGAAAATGAGAGTAAATTGTTCTCACAGTCATAGAGTGATTGACGTTTTCTATCCACGCAAATAAAAGTTCTTGGCAATTTGAAGTCCACTTACCTCTATAAACACCTCAACTTTGTTAAACTTCAAGTCTCCTTTTATGGGTATGCCATACACTCCTGCGTTGACTTTAACACCTGCTTTATTTACGCCACCGTGAAATTTCAACCAGGAATCTTTGCCCATCAGTAGCTTACCAAACTGGCAATGCGAGTTATCCCCACAATTCGCTGCAAACTTCGTTACGGCTGCAAAAAACAGTCCATCTGGGACTTCCTTTTTCATCAAAGATTGTAAAGGCTCTTTTTGAAATTTTGTCTGCGGTGTCACTTTATAACCTTTCTGCGCAAACGAAATACCAAACTGCCAAAATGAAAAGGAACCATCTACAATTAGTTTGATAATGGTAATTTCACCCTTTAACTTCTAAGGTCTGATTTTGAGATTTTCCCCTTTAACTGCTACACACTTTCTTGTAACAGAGCTACAAGAATGAGATATTAGATAATTATCGCAACCTCTTCCCTGGTAAGTTTGGATATTCCATTACTGATCACTGGATGATCTATGTGTATCATGGAACTAAGTTACATATGTTAATAACTTTTGGGAACTAAAAGATTAACTAAGAAGAGACCGATTTGGGCTGAAATCGTTTGCTTCTAACTCACTAGCTGGGAAAAATTAAAAGCTGACTCATGATATAACGCACTGTTGAGAGCCAATCGGATTGCATGGTTCGTCAGTGATATCGAAATTATTGAATGCTATAATAAAAAATATGCTCACCGATGTTTTCTCCAACTTTTCAAACAAACCAATCTTGGTGTTAAACATCTTCTCCACGAAATCTTCAAATCCAGCCTGCTCCGCTGTGAAAGCCACGGCGAAAATATCCTTACGTATGATCTCAAAATTAAACCATCCACCAATCCCTTTGGGCGCCGCCTTACCGCTGACTCGCATTATGACCTCTTTCATGCTCGCACTGATTTCCAAAGACAAGTCAGATATAGTCACCAGGCCTAGACCTACGCGTTTCAATATGTCAAGTACTTTCTGGTCAAGATTCATTGTCGTTTTAGCTGCGTCTTGCAAGCCCTTCAAGTTAGGGGTTGTCACCATGTTCTGCGCTGGAGACATAGCATATAATGAATCCATATTCAGCGTGTTTGGATAAGGGAATGGCATTTCCTCTCTTAGTTCATTTATTGGCTCGTAATAAGATGATGGCACCACATTCCGTTGCGTAATTGTATTATGGCGTGCATGGAATCCCCGTCTATGACAAAGCCTAGACTTTTTCTGCTTTGAAAATGCACTTCTTCGATGGATAATGTGTCTTTCGGCGTTTAGGTTGACGCTACTCATCTTCGCAGCTTTCGAATTCTCTGTGTATTCTCCGTCTTTGAAGACATTTTCTAACATTGCAAGTTGATCATAGGAAGATTTTGGGTCGAGGCTCCTTTCTCCGCGTCTCAAAATTTGGGAGAAGGAGAAGTCACTTGCTGCAGCTGTGTTTGATGACAAGGCGGCTTCAATTTCCTCTAAAATAAAATGTACAATCAATGCTTTATTTAAAAGTACGAAGGACGAACCTTTGAACCTACGTTGTAAGTTGAAATATCCTTGAATGGGAAGAAAGAGAAGAGATATGTCGATTGGATCCGTAGCTAGCTCCGATTTCGCTTTCGTTCCGTTACAAAACATGAGAGATGGAGAAAGCTGGATAACGATTTTCTGAGGAAAGTGATATCTTACGGGTTCATGAAACGATTATAATTATTAAGTTCAGATTTTCCTGTGGTTTCCAGTGGCCATACGCGAAGCTACGTTATTTTGAGCGAGGAAAAACATGTTCGTCGTCCACTTCCAAAATAGTTCCAGTTTTGTGAAAATGTCGTGGTGGCGAAAATACGATACCCACGCGTTAGCAGTTTAAAGTTTTTCAGTCAATAAAGAATTAAATTCCGACCAATAGCAATATCTGTGGAAACGTTTTGCTCATTAATTACGCAGTAGAGCTCTATGTAGTATTTACTTTCCCATCCTTTCGCTAAGAATCTCAACTCAAATGTAGTACTCGAAACCACATTTGACAACGTCGAAAGGTTCCTTTGAGGTAAGTGAGAAATATGGCAAGTCTGTCGAACACTTCATAAGAGTGTGGGAAAAGAAAACTTGGGAGATCCCTTGAATATTTGAACACCAATCACTCTCAGTTAAAAAGATAATTTGGTTTAATTGGCTGAGCTGACGATGTAAATAAGTAGATTTATCACCAAAGAGAGTTTCTAAAACTGACTTTTCGAGCTTACGCCCTTTTTCACTCGTTCCAGCGCTGGGTTAACACTGAAAACGTTAGCTAAAGAAACTCTATACATCGACCAATTTGAACAGTGAACTCAGTTGATAAAATTAAATCATCGTGTTATACCCCCAAGATAGTTTTGTTCAGTTACAAATTTTCAGAGTAGATATAATGTTTTACATGAAGTAGCAGTTTGGCTGCTAGTTCCTTCAATTACGACTTGAATATTTGAACACCAGCACTCCCAGTGAACAAGATAACTTGGTTTAATTGACTGAGTCGACGATGTAAATAAGTAAATTGATCACTATAGAGAGTTAAAAAAAACACTGACTTTTCGAGCTTATGCCCCTTGTCATTCGCTCTAACGAAGGGCTAACCCTCGAAACGTTAGCTATTGAAACTCTCTATATCGGTCAATTTGCATTGTCAACTCAGTTGGTAAAAGTAAGTCATTATGTCATTATGTTGTACTCCCCCCCCCTCCCCCCCACATCAACGACGCAGCGCCGCTGTTTCTTAGTTCTTAGTTTAGATCAAATGTGAAACGTATAGAGTCATACTGAAGATAGATTTGTTAAGTTACAAATTTTCAGAGTAGATACAATGTTTACCTGAAGTAGCTGTTTGGTTGCTGGTTCCTTCAATCGCGACTTCATTTTCTACCCCTAGGCTGGCGTAAACAGCAAACTTGGCATTCCCAATATTATTGAAACCATGGGCTACAATTTCTTCTTTTCCGGGAGATACTCGGAAAAGAAACATAACGTTTTCAAGGGAAACTGTATCAGTTGGAGCATAAAGAGAAGCAGAATCCAAGAGAAACTCAACTGCAAAGATACAGAGAATACAATCGTGATAACAGCGGTATTCTATTGATTTTTGTAAAATAACACAGAAGTGTTCAGAACGACCAAATTAAATGCGATAAGAAGAAGGGAAAATATTATAAAGAAGCCAATGAGAAATAAGATCACAATCAAACGGTCTGGATCGCGACAAAACTGAACGCCGGTAGTTTGGGGCCCATTTCTTGAAGGTAAAATTAACAAGCCCGTAAAGCTGTTCTGATTTCATTCAACATAGAGGTTTCAAAAAGTTTGACAATCTTCAATAAAACCATCACCCAAAAACGCAAAGAGGATTTGCTAGGGTGCCGAAACGGGATTTTCTCTTCTCTACAACCTGATCTTAAAATATAGCTTTGGGCAAGTTATGTCATTCGAACTTTCGAGAAACAGGCCTCAGCTTCGGTAAGAACATTGCTTGGGAGGTTTATTTAGTCAAACGTCATCTGCTTAGATTTGTTCTATTGCAATCATGCTTGAGAATCTTTCAATAACCTTCAAGTCTGTGTGGTGTTACGAAAGATGTAAGGACTATGAAAGTTCAGAAAATCGTCAGCAGTACCTCCATAGAGGGCTTTATCATCTCTCAAATTAACCTTTATTCCTGTCACGTGTTCAGCATCCCCAGGAATGGTGAAGAACGGCATTGGCTTTGTCGAGCGAAAACTGGGATACAGCTGAGCCAGCTCTGCTATCGTAAGCAGTTTCATGGGCTCGAAACATGTTTCATTTAATTCTTGTGACTTTTCTTTAAATGCAAAGTAACCGCCCTTCAAATACGGGACCACCTTAGGCAGATTTGCTAGTACAGCTGTTAGCAAGTCGTTTTTGATTGAATCACTGACAAGTTCTGCGTTTTGAGAGTTGCACATTAATCCTATGAATGAATTTGGTTCAACAGGCTTTGTAGCGGCAGTGTTCTGAGGAGTTTCTGAAAATAGAATAATAGAAGTTAATTAGGACAAAAAAAAAAATAATAAGATTCAACGGTGAGGTACTAAAGATACAGGATGACAACATTCTTCCTCCATCAAAGTTTAGATTTAGAGCACAGTCACTATTTCATATCTTTTAATCCTTTAACTCCTAAAAAATGATAAGTATCTAGTTCTCCCAACATTATCGACCCTTTGAATGTTGTCCTTAAGTAACATTTTTTATTACACGACTCGGGCAGTCGGATGGCCAATAACTAAAGTCAACCAATCAAAGTGCTCTATTGTCGGTCAATATTCTCTCAGTATTGGACCGGGCACTGTCCCGAATGGTCCCGAATGATACCGCACTTGTGTCCCTTTGAACTTCAGTCGTATAATGAATCTCTTATTAACCAAGCTTGCTCGGAACCGTACAGGAAGAATATCGGCCCTCGGTCTTTTTTGTACGGACCTCGCTGCGCTCGGTCTGTACTGTCAAGACCTCGGAG